ATGATGCTACGCGCTGTACCTATACCATATAATATTATAATTTAGTTGAAAATATAATAAGCAAACGTATAATATGTAACTCTGTATGACTCACCTACTCGGACGCGAATAATTCCGGTTTCGTTGCAGCAGGTGTGCTTCTAGTGCAGTCACAGCCCGTCGAAGTCACTTTCGCAGGTGCAGCACGCCGAAATGACAGCCCCGGGTGCAGCTGCAGCCGAAGTCACGTGCAAAAAAGTGCAGCATCCAAAGTGCGATGGCGAAGGTGAAAGCGTATCCTAGCCGCTTTCTGTGCGTACACTCGGTCGAAAATCGCGCACACGACGTCACCGCACACGTGACTCGCGATAAGCGGACGCGAAACCGCGGACGGAACACCGGACCGAGACGCACGTGAAAAACACTTTTTTCCGGGCGATCCGCACAACGAAGCTCAGCGATTTTCCTCGACTCGACCCGCGTACGGCCGCACATAGATCGATCGACTTTTCCAGAGCGCACCACCGCGATACGTACGTCGTGATAATAACACAATCATATTATTATAATAATTATAATTTTATTATACCTAGCGACGTCTGGTCGCGTTATCTCGTTATTCGTGTACTTACTTATACGCGTTTCCGGAATCGTGTCTCCGAGAACCCGCGCTCAGAGAAGAGCGATTGGAACCGAGTGTGCGGGGTCAGGGGGGTGCAGGGAGAAGTGTGGGCGTTTAGGGGATGAGGGGAGGGCGCACACGAATAAATCTCCAAGTCCCGTCTCATTATAATATATTAACACGTACACGTCGGTTTTTTTCACGGGGTATATTATAATATATAGGTGATATATATATGCGCCACAAACGGACGAATAGTTTCCCTTTGTTATATAATATACATCTATACACACGCAGGCACAGTAGTAATCGTGTGCGACGTTTTTTCTTCTCTCGTCTTCGTCTCTGTGAACACGATTTTTCGTCGAGGCCTGCGAAGAGGTTTGTTTTTAATTAAGTATATGCGTTCCGGCGTTCGGCTGCAGCCAGTGCGTATATGCATTAAACATAATAACATATTATAATACACAACAACGACCGTTTGGCCGTATACCAAACGCACGCGCACACACGTTGCGCATATTATTATTAATATTATTATCGTATTATAATATTTATTTTTATTTTTTTTTGTCAAGAGCAGCAGATATAGCTTGCTGCAGTGCGACGATGATATTATTATAAATATAGAATGTTGACGATATCGCAGGGGCCTGCCGAAAGTACAGCCACTTTATATAGTGAGTAACAGTAATGTTAATATCTTATATCATCGTATAATTTGAATATGATGATGATGATAATAATAAAAATAATAATATATGTGCCATGCGTTGATCACAATCGTGTGCGCATAGTATGATTAGTGTGTACTGTAATACACACATAATATATATTATATAGGTAAGACACGTATACATAAAATATGACAATTATGTACAAATATAGCGTATGAAGATTTGTTTGTTTTTTTTCATGTTTTTGTTTATTAAAAAAAAAACGTTCATTTTTTTTTTAATTAATTAACATAAAATTCTACTTAATTAATCTAAAAATGTAACGAACACTAATTCTAATATTTTAGGAGGAACTTATAGTGAATGCCGCATAACAACACTCAGTTATCTTAATATTCATTGTACTGACCGTTTATTACATGTATATATATATATTTTTTTTTTGAATCGGAAAAAATATTAAAAATATTAATTAAATAATGTCGATAAATTAAAAAATGTGTCAACATTGATTTTTTTTCAAATTTTGTTATTTTATCTTTTTTGGTATTACAATATAAGTACTCAACATTATTGTTATTTATCACGACTCAAAAAAATAAACAAGACTTATTAATTACGTATATATGTCGTTTTTCATTTTTACACTGTTTTACCTAGCATGTAAAAATAAATTAGAGGTAATCCTTGCCAGGCTTTGCAGAATAAATAATTTTTTATACAAAAATTCTTTTTTACAAAAAAAATAATAATAATAATGATAAAATTAAAAACGAAAAAACAAAATGGTTAATAAAATGAAGAATCTACCAGCACACGCACGCTTTTTCTATATAATATAATAAAATTGTATATATTAATATTATCGTTTTATATATATAAATAAAATCTCTCTGAACTGTACAATATTACGAGGAAATAGTGTCAAATAAATCGTAACGATTTTCAATTTCGAAAAAAACAATATTCCTATAAATGTTTTTTTTAAATATAATATATTCATAAGAAGACATACCTATGATGTATGTACAAGAGAAATATAATAATAATTTGCAGTTGAAAATAATTATAATTAATGAAACGGACTGATATTCAATAATTTCCGCTTATGCGCGAGCATAACACATGTGTTATAATAATAATTATAATATTATAATTGGTGTTCTGCGTACCTATGTTTACGGAAACAGCTGATTCGCGGAGCCGACGAAATTGCACATAAAGATTTTTTCAATTTTTTCGAAAATGAGTCGCGGAGTGTGTACCGCAACGACAGTAAGTATAGTATTATTGTGTATTCGAAAAAAAAATATATATATATGTATAGTTTGTGTGAGAAAACAAGTAAACAAGTAGTGGCATGGACCGATCTCTAATTAATATATAAACATTTTTTTTTTTTTCCTTATTACAATATACAAAGTCTAAACATATTATTTTAATATATATATTTATATATATATATATTTACACATTCAAATAATTTATAAATAATAATCGTATATATAATTACTTAATATATATGTATGTACTTGAGTCACGCGTTATTTTTCCTCTTATTATATATTTTCTCTCTTACACGAAAAATAATTAAAACGAAAATAAATAAATAAAATAAAAAACAAAAACAAAAGTATACGCAAATACCACCTTTGGTACGTTAGCATTTTATATTGTTACAATAATATTATAAATATTTAATATTATTATGTTATTGTTATTTTCACCGCAATTCCACGTCCGATTGCGCTCGCACGATTCCCCGGGTCCTACATTTATTCAGTATGTACGAAAAAAAAACTGACTTTATAATAATATTGTACACGGTGTTATATTGGCTGCATATTTTATTATTCAAACATTAACTGTGGCGCGGTGGCAGCGACTGTGCGCGGTGACCGAAGGTCGAGGCCGACACAACCATAGTACCTATATATACATAGGTGGTATGTAAAAATATATGGTAGATAACATGATATTATACGCGTCTGGCTGGTATAATAGTGATCTTATTTAGACGTATTGTAACGACGGCCAAAAACGAAATATTATAATATTATTATTAATTATTATAATAATATCATGTCGAAACCGAGGCGATCGCAAAAAAATCGGATCGGGCCACCACCGTCACACCGTGTGTATCGGACGCGAATCGCGGTGCCAGTCTAATTCCTAATGGCACTATAAGTTGAATAAAAAATAAAAACAAACAAACAACAACTGGTCTTGGAATTTGAAACCGAAATATATATATAGGGACATAATCACGCTCACACTAACACACTAACAAGCACACACATACACACAAACAAACAAACACGAACACACATATTATGATAATATTATATACAACTTAATATTATAATATGATAGTGTACACAAAATCTCTATGTATATATTATTTTATATATATCGTGTACAACACGTATGTGTTATGATAAGACAAGCGTGTGTTAGATATACATTATTATTAATATTATTATTATTATTATTACTATCGAGGACGTGTTATTTGAGCTGGTTTTGAGATCCCGAGCGCATATCATCGACCGCGCGACGATTCGCTCGTAACAAAATATTTATTTTTTTAAATTATTACGATATACCTAATAATAATAATATATTACATAGTGTACTCTTTATCATAATTATGAATCCATATTCCATATTATATAATATCATATATTTATATGTATGTGAGTGTGTGTCTGTGTGTGTGTGGTGGGAACGAGTAGCGGAAAGTAAGTCACGGTTGACCAGAGCGCGTTATAGGTATGTCATTTTTCTTTGGATATTTAATAAATTATTATTACGTCGTCATTGCTATCGTTTATTATTTGTTTGCTTAGAACTAAATAAAACTTAAACGAGAACTAAAAAAAAACCTACGACATAATGACTTAGACACAATCTTAGAACAAGTTTCCTAAGCGAGGGAAAAATTTACACGTACCTAATTATTTATTATTATAATATAGTATTGCCGTCGGTATAAGACAAAAATTGATAAAAAGACGTTTTCCTCTTTTCGGAAAATGTAAAAATTGATTTAAAATACGTTTATAATGCGTATATATCAATATATACCCAGAACGAAATGTCAAAATTTTTGTTTATATTTTCAATGTAATATTTACAATAAGAAGATTACTGTTTAGAAAAATATTATTGTTTACCATCTAAACCGCCCTGTAATCGCAGTAACAATATTACAATACGGGGTGACCAATTATTATAATATTATTATTCATTATGCTATACAGAGCGACCGGTGTATAATATTATATAATTATTATTATCATTTCGAAATTGGTTTCTCTGTTCGTTTTAAGTATATACGCGAAAAATGTCACAATCCGTCGTCGTCCTGCATAATAAACGACTTGACAGTTGACATCTCATCTCGACCACGCGCACCACTCACACTCAAACGCTAACACAAACAGGCAAAATCGTAGGTGCGCGATCCCTAATGACGACGCTGCAGTGCAGCAACACGAGCGCGTGTGACTCGCGCACGCGCGTACGGCACTCGGAAAACTGTGGACCATTTCACTTCTACACACACGCGCGCACGCGAGTACATATTATTATATGTACAACAACAGTATTAATCATAATCATAATCATAATCATAATCATAATAATAATAATATTAATAATATTAATAATTAATAATAATATTATAAATAATGACGAGCGAAGTCGCGGCGTTATCACTACTGCGGCGAAGTCTGCGGCGTGATATCGCTACCGTCACCGCCTTGGCCGTCACCGCCCTTGGTCTTGTTCTCTTTTTTCCACTTCATCCGCCTGTTCTGGAACCATATCTTTATCTGCCTCTCGGTCAGGCACAGCGCGTGCGCGATCTCGATCCGCCGCCTCCGGGTCAGGTACCGATTGAAGTGGAACTCCTTCTCCAGCTCCAGCGTCTGGTACCTGGTGTAAGTCTGCCGGCCGCGTTTCCGCTCTGAAACATAACGTTTGCAATGACAACTACTGATAAGACTGAGCAGACAGCCCGATGACGCCCGACTCAGGGATATAGTTGGATTTATAGTGATATCAAATTATGTATTGATAATTAATATATATATATATATATTATATGTCTATTGTCTACCTATATTGTTTACAGCAATAATATTATAATGTATGAAATTGTTACCGGCTGCTGATCGTGAGGACACTTATCATGTTTATGTGTTATCTGTATATAATATAGGGGTTAACGTTCATTACTCAGTTGTCGCTACACCAGTGAATCGCATATACATAATATAATATTATAATTAAATCGTGGACGTCAGTGCAAGTCAGCTGATACGTGTTATAAGCGTATATATATGATGATAATATACACGCCGTTAGACGCATTAATATTACACATTATTATATTATACCGCTGACGTGTATTTTATACGCTCGTGTATAGGTACGACAATATTTATTATACACAGTGGTGCTAAATCCGTGTATTAACTACATGCCCTGTAAGAATAGTATCGCATAATAATAATATGTAGGACATATTCGAAATTATCAGAATTATTACAATTTATTTTTCGATTTTTGACGAGTGTCAGAGCCATTGATGGTAGTTGTTCGATAATATTATAAATTCAATACATATTATAATTCTATTATCCGAGTATTTTTTTTCTCCTATCGAAAATTAAAATGGTATTTATGAATTGATATAAAATAATAATCTATTTCAGCAGACCACAGAATATTGTCATACCTATACGCGAGTGCGATGTGTATATTAAAATAATAACCAAGGCTGTGAATTTGATACATTTGCATAATATCATATGTTTATTTTTACTTTGTCTAGGTATAAGGAATCAAGTTCGGATATAATTTGTTTTAAAATTACTCCTAGACACGAATGCGATTATAATAATGCTTTTTATATTTTTCATATCTTAATAATGTTATAACTTTTAACATATAATTGGTAGGTACCTGTAGGGTTGACAAAAATTATGCGTTATTTTCTAGAAGAGTTGTATTTGTTTAATTATTATTTAAACTTTTATATAAAGGATTATTTAGAATGTATTTATAATAATTAATTCATTGATATTTTGAAATTGTATATAAAAAAAAAATCATCCAATATTTCGAGCGTAATATTTTATGTTCATTCAACAGTGGCCTTGTGCATTAATTTCACAGCTCTAGTAATAATATAATGTGTATAATAAAAACGTGCAAACAAACAGTAGTAAATCGTAATTTTTCTAGTTAATTAACATCATGCAAAGTATTTATAACAACAAACTCCCACTATATTATAATATATACAAAACTATGTGTGATATTCCCACAGGCATCCCCAATGGGATCTATATCTACTACTACAGTAGGTATGATATAGCATAATATATACATTTCGATTATTTATTATGAGTAATGACAATAATTCTTATTGTTATATTATATTATACAGGCGTGGTATTATATTATTAGAAGCAAACGGTCAGTGTTTTTACGGCGTGGCAGTAGTAGCAGCAGCGCTGTTTGGGCGAATTTAACGTTTTTCGAGAGTTTTAACCCTTTTCTATATTATATACCATTGAAATAAATGCACATTCGACGGAGAAAGGCCTGTGACGCGTACAAATATACGCGCGTCTAACCTACAAACACATCAATACATTATTTTATATAACAATATAAGATATTATAATATACGAGTATACGACCGAAAACTACAATGGACGATTAGGTCCGGGCCCAGTAATATGCCTTTTGGTTATTATTTATATATAGGCGGGTACTGGTTTCAGCGGCGGCGGCAGCGGAGGGATCGATTAACCTCGTGAAAATTTCAACGAAAAAAACTTTTATTAAGACTTTCTTTTCGCGGGCGCACAAAGACCTTAACGAGTTTTTGATGTGGGGGAAGGAAATCGCCGTGAAGACGCATTTACGGCCACTGCAGCCGACCGATCAACCGAAGTCGTTACGATATATATATATATTATATATGTGTGTGTGTGTGTGTGTCTATATACCAACTGTATATATAAGAACCGGGGCCGCGAGGGGGAATAATGTCGACGTTTGTAGACACCGCGAGAGGCCAATGGAAACGATCGACGAGCGTTTTTAATTAATCGCTTTTTCCCTATAGCGTGCGGAACACTGCACATTGTTGTGTTATAGTATACTATATAATATTATACGTGTATCCGAAGTCCGAGGGTATTTCTCGTTGTTTACCAGGTATATCGAGTATAGAATTGTATATATCAGTATATATAGGTTTATATTATACCTATTCGAAGAAGGGAAAAGCAAAAATCGGTTATCGTGACATTTCATATTTTTTATCGCTTGAATAAATTTGTGAATAATTATTAAGATACCGTAGAGAGAGAATAATATTATATTTGGCGTTAAAAACCTTGTACCTATCGAAGAAAACCAATCGAATATAATATATCATGAGCAAGATGCACAGTGTATAATATACTGCTCTATAAATTAATATTTGCCATTATAATTTAGTGGAAATAGGTGTATTTAATATATTATAATATTGCGGACGGCGGACCGTCAGTAGGTTATTGGATTTAATGACTTCAGAATATAGAGATACTCTTGGACTTGCGATCAGTAGGGGCGCAGCGCACGGAGCTAAGTTCGACGAGTTCGACTTTAACGTAAGAGTCTAATAATGCAGTACGGTTCGGAGTCTATTTGTCCCGTTTCCGGTTTCGTAACGACGTTGTACGCATGTAGTATAGGTATTAAGCGCGCGGAAGTCCGTTGAACCGTGTGCACGCACAGACTGATCGCGAGGACTTAAGTATACTCGTATATAATCCCATATACACACACTCGCGCCCGCGTGACGCTGTCGCTGGTGTACATATAATAATACATTATATACCTCTATATACTTCACGTTATATTTGATATATATACGTGTGTATGCATGCGTACGTATATATATATATATGATAAAAGGATTTCGTCGTGAGCTGCAGCGCGTCAAGAGGACACGTATTAATAGCGCGCCCGGCCCGCACGTGTATACACATATTATACATACATACAATGCACACGCGAGTAGAGTATATACCTATACCGAGTGCGCCGCCGTCGGACTTAAAAACGGGGGATAGACTTAGATCCAAAAGGGGAACTGTGGCGGGGGTGCAAGGTGAGGGAGAGGATACTGCTGCTGCACCGTATTACAAAGCAGATTATTTGGACGGGCTCGACGTTTTCGTGCAGCCGTCGGCTATACACACACACGTAGGGACCCGTAGTCCTTGGACGCCAGCATGTGTGTGTGTGTGTGCCGAAAACAAGAAAGTCGTGGGGTCACCGCCGGGAACAGATGACGGGGCGGAACGGTGGAAGGTTGGATGGGTGACGCTGCGGACGGACCGGGGGGTGGGCTGCACAGGAAGAGAGACGGTGGCGGGCCAGGGGAGAGAGAGGAGAGACGTTGCGCGTCAAAAGTGACGAAGATTTATGGCGGCGGCGGGCAGGCCCCATTTCGTTCGGCCTCCGGGGCAGCGCGCGCGGTTCGGCGGCGGCGGTGGCGGTTCCCACCGGGGACCGGTCGCCGCCGCTCGCGTGCGTAAGCATCCAAACCGTATTATATGAAAAAAAAATACACAGCAAACCGGAGACGGAGTGAGAGGGAGGGAGAGGGGAGTGAGAGAGCAGTGAGTGAGGGAAGGAGAGACGGAGTAAAAATAAAAAAATAAATTATATATATGTATATAATAAAAGGGAGATTTACCGAAAACGTAAAAGGCTCACGACGGCGGCAACTGCCATGTGTGTGTCAAATGGAATAAAGCGGCGACCTCCTCCGGGGAGTGAGTAATAGAGTAACGGGGTGGTGGTTGGAAGAGATATGGTCGGCGAGAGAGAGAGAGAGAGAGAGAGAGAATGAATGAGAGAGATTGTAGCGAGTGAGAAACAGGGTGAGAGAGAAAATAAGAGAGACGGCTCTAGAGGCGTATATAATATTACGTACATGACAGACGTACAGAGAGTAATTTGTAATTTTTTTGTCCCCCTCCCCCCAACATGAACCTTTAACGACCACCGTAAGACTCGCGAGTATAGCACTTAGGAAATTAGAAAATATATGGGTCCCAAAATCGCAATACGGAAAAAGCGGCATGTATTTCGTGATACACAATATCCGAAATTATCAAACTTTTGTTGAACTTCCCTAATATATTATAATAATTATTATTATAATGGTGGCGAGACTGCAAATAATTGCAATAATAACAACGATCGAGCGTGTAAGACAACGTTCGTTAGCGGCGATTAAATCTCCGTGATTAATCACTCAGAGTGCCGATCCATGGAAATGCATTCTATTTCTACCTACTGAGTTTGTATACAACGCAAACGTTTTTAAATTGGTCCTAAAATGTCATTGTGCGGTCGGTATAACGACCTTATAACATCATCAATGGCCCTCGTAGAATGAGATTTATATGCGGTGCAGTTACAATAATAGTTATACCGAGAGCTAAATAGAGTGTACCTATAATCTATAATATAGTAGGTATAGTTGTTATTATTGAGTGTAAATTATTATTTTAATTTTATGTAATTAGCCAATTATGATATATAATATTGTTCTCTTCATATTATTATAAGTAACGTATTTATCTATTCTTGTTTCGTTGCAGACTTTCTCTCATAATATTGCACGTCTGCGACGACGACACATCGATACAGAAATAATTTATAGCTAGAAAATGGTCTATATTTTCCTAGGACACCCGATATCCGTAATTTATTTCATTATATACGTGATATTATATGACAATCGTTTATGGACGCTATCTTTAGCTACTATTTAAATCTAGAATTAAATAACCATTATGCGCGCGTTTGGATATACATATTATATTCACATTAATATTCTCACGGTCACGGAAATTTGTATAATATCCCAGTATATATTATATGCAT